ATACGTGACCATAGTCTTAATCCAGTGCATCTATTCTGTTTTTGATCCCTGGCTTCCAGATATACGACATAAAGCATTTGTAACTCCTTTAGGATTTGCAGTTGCGTTTGTTTAAAAAAATATGAAAATTTGTCAAAAGTTTGGATCAGCTTATGTGTTTGTGAATGTATCGTTCATAACTGATCTCATAGTGAGGTCCTGACAAAATTCAACCTTGAAGGGAAATATACTTTCTGTGTTGGTTATGTATGTCATAATATATTTGCTGGGGTTGTTTAGGGTTATGGAAGTCATACGACCATCCCACAGGGATAGTTTCCAGGAGAATCAACAGCCACCCAGATGAGAAGAGTCCGGAACATTTGCCTGTTAATGTACAGTTGTGTGTAGTGTGTTAAAAATATGTCATATGGTTTTAGAAGACCTTGAACATAGTGGACATTTCAAATACTTTTTTTTTCTCATTTTTGTTGACTTTGAGAGTTTTTTCTCCCACAAAGCTGTTATTGAAAGCACCCAGACACTGAAGGCGTGTAGACGGCAAAATTAATTTGTTCTGAAACATTTTCTTTTGTTTGGGAACTATACAGATTATAAATATATGGTAAGATTTTGGCACACATTGCAGATCGTCTGCAAATTCTCCAAATCACGTATCTGTAGGGTTGCAGGGTTAGTTATATATAACTTTGTTATTATTTTAGTAATGTAAAATCTAATATAAATGTAAAATAGGGGAAATGAGCATGCACAAATAATGCTGCAATATGGAGGCCTACTAGACGCACTATGTAGTTTGAGTGATGAATGGAGCTCAAGCGTAGTTCAGGCAGACCACGGCATGACAGCCGGCATCAGCTGATGCTCAGCTGATTGTAACTCCTACCACTAAATTAAATAAGATATATAAGTTCATCCATACTCACACTTGCCTTAGTCTGTTACACAGACATGTGCTTACCCTCCTCCATTCCCAACTCCTCCTTATACAGGCATGATCACTTAGAGTCTCGTCCACGGTAATCATCTATCAGCTAATCGTTGCTTAATCTTGTCCAGTTTCATTTACAGACCTGTATCACTTCTGCATGGCATTTTATATCTGTTGCATATTAAAAATTCTGGTAATTGCATTAGGTTTCGGGGGTTTCAAACCTCAGTGAAGGTTTCTTGTGGACAGCTCAGAATCTGAACCCTTTAGAGAAAAGCCTGCCGCCAAAATAATGTTCAGGACCTCTACAATAATCTTAATCAAACAGAGAGGTCCTGACTGAACTAGTATTTGAGGTGTGAAATTTTCTTTGGGGAAGAATCTTGTTGAAACTCTTCTCTGAAAGAGGTGTCTTTGTTTTAACTTGATTTAACAAGATGTCTTTTTGGATGATCGATTATTATATGAGCTTACCATTGTGAGTCGGGATAAAAGAGTTTTGAACAATGATTTTTACGTGCTTGCTCAATGGTGATGTTTGCACTGGATAAAGTAGATGCCCTTTCTGACTTACTCAACATGCTGTAGCTAATAATTGATTTTAAAATTTTTAACCAAAAAATCTTCAGCTTTAAATGCCCAATATCAGCGTTTATTTTCACCAAAAAGGTGGAAACTATTAGAGGCAAGTTATCTTCACTACACACACACACACACACACACACACATACATACATACATAACTAGCCACAGCCCACATGCAATACTTCTTCCTTTCACAGAAACTGCTGTCCAAAATTATTTAAGGGCTCATGACATGTCTTTTTTATTATTTAATCTGCCATGAGGTTCACTTATAATGTTAGTTTATGTATTTATTTATTTTTAAATAGATATTAAAATATAGTCATGCATTTGCAAAAAATAAATAAATAAAACAATTTTGACACAATTTTGGCAAACATAAAACGCAATCAGTTAAAAATTAACCATCTAACCCAAGGCTGGGGACCTTTGGAAGGCTGTGGAGAGACAAAAACAGCACATTAGGGCCTTTCGCACCGCAGGAACCTTTTCATAGTACCAGAACTAATTGTGGAACTACCCACTTTTCGGCATGTTCGCACCGCCGGAACTGGGAGCGATTTTAGTACCGGACTGCCTTTTTCAAGAACCAAATTAGCTCCTACTCCGGAGCAGGGTCTAACCAGCACAACTGGTACTAATCGTGACGTAAGTAGACATTGATTGGCCAAACAGCGATAGATGGACAGACGCTGAAGTGCAGGCACTTGTAGCAGATGTAGCACTGCCAGTTGTCGTTGGAGATTCTTAGTCCTCGTTTCCGTTCTTTCAATCGCTTTACGTATACGTCGACTTTCCATGTCAATTATTGTGAAACCCGCAAGACACAACAAAAACACAGCTCCGATCACAGCGTCCTCCATCCTCCTGTTGTTAATGTTGTTCTTCTTTGTTTCGTTCTGTTGAACGCTGCGCACAAATGACGTTGCTGCCGACTGGCTTAAGTCACTTCTTAGTACACACTGTCGGTGCGAATGCAACCCTTTAAATGGCACTGGGAAATAGTACGCGCAAAATCGTCCCAGTACTTTAGTACCGTACATTTAGTTCTGGAACTAAAGCGGTGCGAAAAGGCCTAATGTGTCAAAGTGTACATTCCTATTGTGAGAAGTAGCTCAAGCATGTGGAGTAAGTCAGAAATAGGACAGGACATCTATGTACTTTATCCAGTGTAAACATCCCCATTGAGTGTCATTATAATGGATTATATTTTGCTTTCTATTGCTCTTAGGGCAGTGATAGTTAGATTTTGCTCTTGTGACATCACAAAACGCGGAACATCGACATGAACTTGCAGGATGTTTTAGTGGCACAATTACCTTTTATGATGTCAAAAAAATCAAGCAAAATTGTCATGATCCCTTTAATTCCAGGGCTCTTCAAGTACAGTCCTGGAGGGACAGTGTCCTGGAAACCTTATTCCAGACACCTCAGAACAAGGTAATCATTTGCAAGAAGCTAATCCCCTAATTGCAAATTACAGACAGGTGTGTTTAATTAGGGTTGGAATTAAAGTTTGCAAGACATCGCCCCTCCAGGACTGGAGTTGAAGAGCCCAGTGGTGTCCATAGCCTGCTCTTGGAGGACCAACATCTTACAGAGTTTAACTCCAACTTGCTCCAATGCATCTGCCTAAAAAGTTTCTAGTATGCCTTGATTAGCTGTTTCAGGTGTGTTTATTTAGAGCTAGAGCCAAGCGCTGCAGGACAGTGACCCTCCAGGAGCAGGATTGGAGTCCCCTGCCTTAGAGCTTATCCCCTTCCATCTTCAGCAGTAGTGCTTTCCAAATTTGTCCACCATACAGTTTGGGATTTCTCCCTCATTTTCACACCCAATTCAAGTCTTTCAGTTTCTAATAATAAACTGATGATTTGAACCAGGCATGTTAGATGAGGCAGACATCCAAAATGTAAAGTGGTGGATGGTCCCCAGGTTGGACAGTCCCCCAGTTCTAAAGTAGATTGCTCCAACTGATCTTCAAAACATGCCTTAATGCTGGCAACATCACATTCAATCAGGCTTGGGTGAACCCAACAACCCTACAGCAGTTTAAAACTATTGACCGGTCTCTCTCTTCCCTCTTTACTTTTCTTTCACATAACCACCAATCTGGTTTCAAAAGCAGACATTCCTCAGAAAATACTGTCTTATACTGAAATTCTGCAAGAGCAAATTCCAAATCGTTTGTCCTTGCTAGATCTGTTTTCAACAAGGTGATTCACCAGGTCCTCCTGACTAACTTTTCCAGGCACAACAAAAATTTCACACGTCAGTGGTTCCATGCAAATGCCAGGTGTTCAGGACAGGTGTCCAAGTCACATTAGTGAAGGACTAGGGAGCCTTATAGTTCAATGCTTGCCAGAGCAACATCAATGATACACAGCTCTAGTAGTCTTGGCCTGGATTAAAGAATGTCTCATTCAAAGAACCAAGTGTCTCTGGATGGCAGGTTCTTCCCTTTGGGAAAACCTGCAATCCTTGTTGCAACTGGAAAGTATACAGACGTGAGGGTAGCAGTATAGGCTAAGAAGATATACAGGCCTCTCATCACACATACCACATTGTGTATAAGTCAAGTGCTTCTAGCCCACAATAAGAAAGGTGTAAAGTACTGGTTACACAGTATGACCCTCTTGGTTATCTAATATCCTTCACATCAAATGCTAAAATACTCACTCAAAACCTCTATAAACTTAAAATATGGGATGGCATGACTTTGTTTCTCAAAGTATCTTCTTTTATGTTCCATAGTTTAAGTTAGGACGCTGTAGGCTAAACATTTATGTGTAATAAATTGCATGTTAAATCAAATAAAATATTGCTTTCTAAAGCTACTCTTTGAAATCTCTACTGGATACTTTCTCATTTAACAAAATAATAGCTTTAAATTATATTTTGTGGATAGTTTCACTGCCAGATGTAATTTGAGATTAATTTTATTAATTAATCGACACATCATGTAATCAATTAGATCATGTAATAAATTAGATACAATTTTAATTGACTGACAGCCCTAACATATACACATACACACGTACACAACCTAGTGGTGACATTCAGAGCTTTTGAAATTTAATTCAAAATAATTTTACACAACATTCCAAATTTTAGAATCCAATTCCAGTAGCGAACTATGACTCTTGAACCTTGGCCCTCTCCCCTACCCTCCTCGGTAATAAACTACCAGCCTAGCTTACATTGTCCTCTTTTAAAAGGTATCTTTGGCAATTCCACTTCTGAAACTATTAAGGGGCAAATCCAGCCTTAAGGGGGTCGCATACTGGAGGAGAAACCCAGTGTTGCGTCACATCTTTAAAATTTGAACACATTGTTTTCTATGAGTTTGCACCAGCTCCCAGCAACAACTCGGGACACTTTTCAAAATCCTGCCTCGCCACCGAGAGACACTCACATACAGTAGTTTTCTATTAAATCACTTTATATTTGTCCCAAATTACAGTTAATGTACAAAATGACTTCATGCTCATCCTTCATCTTGCGCTGCGCTGTGCCTCTTGTTCGGTGTGAGACCGCCTTTTGGAAATGCAAAAAGAAAACAGCACAGCAAGAGTGACTGATATCACCAAAATAAAACAAAGCTAATTTTAAGTAAAATGCAAATCCTCATTACAAAAAAAAATTGCATCATCCCATAATCGGTGTGTGCACTTCAGCGTAACATGGACAGCAGGCCAGGTTGTAAAAAGTACAGATACACCCTCCTACCACACAAAACCAACAACATTTAATGTAAGCCATGACAACTGCGCTCACAGCAAAGCAAACTATCGAGAGACAGACACTATTATCAACCAACAAGCATTGCTGATAATAAATACTATTACATTATTGACATTAATATAAATAATATTAATAATACGATATAAATAATAAGCACAGTGGCCTATTCAATGTTCTCACTTACTTTATTTGAGGCTTTCATTATGACTTGAATAACAGTCTAGCTTGCTAGTTTATCAGATTTTTTTTTTTTTTTTGATAAAGTTCCCCACAGTGGGCGAAACTTGTTATAAAGTTAGTGACAACAAGGCCCACCCATTTAAAGGAAAGATATGATTGGTCAGCTTTCCTGTCATTTGAAATGTCTCTCCCATTGACTTACTATTGTTTGGCCCTTGGTAATTTCATAGCTGGATCACCAATCACAGAGCCGAAAGCTTTAGGCAAAAACATTCTAATAATGACAAAATGGGCATCTTTCATTTAAACCTTCACCTTCCAACACAAACTGAATATAGGCAGATGTGAAGAGTTAATTTCTACAGAAATTGTATTAATTTTATTTAGATGTTTGTTGTCAAATTAAAAATGTATTAAATAAAATGAGTGACTTTTTTAAAGTTTACATTTTTAATTTTAATTAAATAATTTAAAATAATACATTTTTAATTATATTTAAAAGAAAAAATAATAATTTAGCATGTTTAAATATTGTTTTGGCAATAGTTTAGGCCCTCTCTGAGGACCTAGAGGGCCCTGACGGTTCCCCTCTGTCCAATTCTAATTAAATACTAAAACCTGTAGTAGTATAAAATATATATTAAGCAATTCTGAAGTGGAGGGTAACACTTTAGAATAGGGAGCACATTCACTATTAACTAAGAGTTTTCCCTCAATAAATGCCAAATTTGCTGCTTTTTAATAGTAAGGTAGTAGTCAAGTTTAGGTTTGGGGTAGGGTTAAGGGATCTAGAATATGGTCATATCTATCTTAAAACTTCTCACATCTTGTATCATTATCAGTATCATGCTCTAAAATGAGTGCTGAATGTAATGGTTTTGAGTCGTCAAAAGCACTCTTTAGGATATGTATCAGGAGATCAAGCTCACAGAGAAAAATATCACACCTTTTTGACCGCTTTCTGCTTTCAGGAATAAAACTGCTCATGTGTATACATATCAGCATGATTGTGCCAATGCTAGAGCATGACCTATCCTCATACCACACTCCTGATGTGAAAATTAGGTCTATGCATGAGTCTTACAGAAGCAATCAAATAAAATCCTTCAGAGTCACGTGGCTTCCTACCTGAGGGAACTCAATGTACCACTGGTTCTGCGACAGATTGAGAACCGTTCTAAACCTTTCTCAATATGCTGATTAAGACTGCTGATCTTGGCAATGTGTTGCTCACCATCTACAGCAATATCTCTAAACACATTTCTGTTTAATTGTCCCTTGCAACCAGGGATGTGCAAAATAAGAACTTTTTATTCTTTCTTTCTTTTTCACAATAGTAGGACATCAATTGAAAATGCAGTTGTTTTGTCCAAAAACTGTTTTTCTTTTCTTTTTTCCCGTTTTTCTTAATTTTTTTATTCAGTTGTTTTGTCAAAAATACTGATTGGCATTCATGAAAAGATGATCAGATTATGATGGGGAATGGGGTTTAAACTGACTAAAATATTTGTATGCAATGTTATTTTTTTTTTCTCCACAAGTTTTAAAGATTTCTGTTTCAACCTTTCTGCTTGACAGTACAATTTTGGAATGCAGAAAATATTGATGTGTTGATTAGCCCTATACTGCAGTGTTTTCCAACCCTGTTCCTGGAGGCACACCCACAGGGCACATTTTCAAACTCTTCCCAATCAGATCAGAGAGACATCCAAAATGTGTAATGTTGATGTGCCCCCAGGAACAGAGTTGAGAAACACTGGATTATTGAATCCTGTACAACATTTCGTATGCATGGAACTATTATGGAAAAGTGGTCAGTGCCTCTGCCTGTGTAAAGAACTCTGGTGACGCAACATCTAGAAACTACAGTATTTTAAAGCAGGAATGACATGAAAATGTTGGGCCAGAAATTCACCTGTAGTGAATTTCTCTATTTAACAGTTGACAATATTTTATTATATGGTATTTAAACCTATTTAACAATGGTTGCAGAGATTGCTAATCCTGCTCCCGGAAAGCAACTCTCCTGCAGCGTTCAGCTCCAACCCCGATCAAACACAGCTGAAACAGCTAATCAAGGAGTTCAGGATTATTTGAAAATAACAGGCAGATGTGTTGGAGCAGTTTGGAACTGAAATCTGCAGGTAGACCTCCAGGACAAAGGTTGGCTACCCCGGTTCAGTTGTTCCTAACCATTCCCAGAGCCCCCAACGCTGCACATTTGGCAGGTCTACATTGTCTAAGTGCATAGTTTGTGCTTGATGTTTAATAATCATTTGAAACTCATTTGGCTGCTGTAGTAGTAATGAAAAGATTTATCCTGAACTCTCTCATGAAAACTAATCCATGACAATTTTTTTAAATTGTTTAAGCTTCAATAAACTATTTAAAAATCAATATGTTTAGGACATTTTCCTTTTCACACATTGGACAAGCAGTTTGAAAAATGGATGGATGGATGATTCAGCTACAGGAGCCATCTTCTGGTGAGATGCCAGAATTCATTTGACACAACCCTCACAGTCCATTATGGGTATTCTCTAGCCACTGAGTGTACATCGATTGCACATTTGTTCTTGTGGTGCATTATGGGATTGAATGAGTGCACTCGATAACATTCACTATGGCAGGGGTTCTCATCTCTGGCCCTCGAGGTCCACTTTCCTGCATAGTTTAGCTTTACTCCTAATCAAACACACCTGAACAAGCTAATCAAGGGCTGCGTTTACACTTGGCATTAACATGTGATCACTGTGATCTGATCAAGCAGATTGGATCATCAGTCAATCAGGACATGGCATGTTTACACTTGGCAACATCAAGTGACTTCTCTATCTGGATAGCCAATCGGATCTCTCTTTCCCGTGCAATATTCAAATAAGTCTTACACCATGTCTACACTGGACACGAGTGGCACAGCACGACAAAATACTATAGAACCCATTATAATCAGTGAAGCTGTCTACACTGGATGTGCCACGGCGCACGACACGACAAATCCCCAAAAATAAGCTGTTGCCTCTTCCTATTTATGACGTACTGACACAAAGTTCTTTGTCGCATCCAGTGTAGACAGCCTCACCCTGTTGCGGCGTGACAACTGTCACATCTGCACGGTGTTAAGTGTTCGAGTCTCACTAGCGCTCCACGGCCTGGTGCCCTCCATCTTTCTTCTGACAGTTCGGGAGAGAGTGGGCAGGGTTTTGCATGACGTCAACCTGCAAATGCAGACACGATGGCTGGATTGCGTTTACATTACACTGAGATCCGATCACAATACGTCCTCGACTACCTCTGGACCAGGACATGCTGATCGGATAACATTCCGATCAGAAGCGCGTTTACACTAGTCTTTTCAATGTGTATGTGGACAACATCCGGATACAGGTCGCATGTTAATGGCAAGTATAAACGCAACCAAGGTCTCCAGGATTACTAGAAAGTTACTGGTAGGCGAGTTTGATCAAGCTAAACTCTTCAAGAAAGTGGACCTCGAGTGCCAGAGTTGAGAACCACTGCACTATGGTTTCGGACACCACTACAAATGGCTGTCCCCTCAAGTGCCCTATTTAAGGGTATAGGGGGCAATTTCAGACATAGCCTTGAAGTCTCTACTAGTGAGCTGATGACCTGAATCAGGTGTGTTTGATTAAGAAGACAAAATGTGCAATGTTTGGGGGTCTCTAGGAATGAGGTTAGGAACCACTGCCCTGGTTTGTTGCCTCTGCAGACTCCACTTTGACCTGTAGGCCTGGAGTTCTCATCTCTGGACCTTGAGGTCAATTTTCCTGCAGAGTTCAACTCCAACCCTAATCAAACACACCTGCACAAGCTAATCAGGGTCTTCAGGATTACTTGAAAGTTGCAAGCAGGTGAGTTTGAGCAAGTTTGGAGCTAAACTCCGCAGGAAAGTGGACCTCGAGGGCCAGAGTTGAGAACCCCTGCCGTAGGCCTTCTGAATATGTATTTGTTGTATCAGAGTTGGTTGTTGACTCAGAGGTCATTCATATTGCATGGACATACCTTGTTCATACAATATGAGTGAACCCAAATCTTTCACATGTCCAGAACCCACTGGTGTAATATCTGATGTTCAGCACAGTGCATTTCACAGCAGGAACTTAAATGCACAAACCCCATGAAATTAAGTGATTTTGCTTTACTTGTGTGGGATATGATTCCCATATTTCCCTTCTCCTTGACCCCTTTACCTATGTCTTACCTTTCTGGTACTGGAGCCAGAGCTGTTGCTGGGACTTCTTGCTGGGGAAGTAGATGTTGCAGGTGAGCTCAGAACCATACAGCGCCTCAGAGATGTAATGACTGCCGTACTGCTGAATAAACGCAAGCAACTCATCCCGCGTGCTGTCTGCCGTCAGGGATTTCAGCACCTTTGAGAAATCTGACCAAAGCACCAGCACACATACAGAAACAATTAATCTAAAAAAATCTTTGATTCATTGTCATATATTTCTTGCTTGTCACCAGACCTTTTAAGAGGCCAGTGAAACTTGCTTTATTACGCCTACAATTCCAGTACTCTGACAGTGATATAGTGCCTTCTCTCTTTTTCAGTGGCATTGTTCCAGAAGTGTTTTTTCTAATTTATTTTCAATGAAAAGCTATCCAGCTTATTTTTAATGTAAAAGCAGGCATGGCCATTTTTAACCTGAATGTGCAAGGCTTCCAGTGTCAGCCGCTTACAGTTATTGTTGCTGTACAAAAACAGGTCGTTACATTGCTTGATGTTACAAACTACTTTTTGTTATCACATAATTAGCATAATCATACACACACGTTTGTAGCACAAATAGTTTTACTGTTTAACACTTAATTTTATTGTTATTTACCTATAGCAAATAATGAAATGACAATCTCACACATTCACCCAAAAAAATAATATTAGGTCTTCGTTTACTCTTCCCAATGCTGTTCCAAACCTGTGTCATTGACTTTCATCTGTGGACCACAAAATACATTTTGAAAAATGTTCCTTTTTGGCCATTCTTTGTCATACTGACTTTCAAAATATGCTAAATCGTGCCTTATCTGTTTGTACTACTGACCAGTTCTCCTTGTTTTTATATTACTTTCGTTTAAAGCAGCTGAAGAAAGGTATTGTGACTTTACATCAGTCCAGTATGAGGATTAATAGAAGTTTGATTTTCATGCAATGACGTTATTGGACTTTTACAGATGCAGAGGGTATGAAAAGATAACTACACATGGCATTTTTTATTTTTTTTAATAAGCCTTCTGTAGTGACTTAAGCTTTCAATGTAACCATTTTTAACGACATGCCTGAGCGATTGAACGAGAATGTGTCCATCTGATAGTCTCAATTCAGCATGGACTTGTTTCCTAACTAATCTCAACATGCTGCCATTTCTTTCTAAATATCCTGTATTAAAAGCTACAACAGTGCCAAGTTTTTGTCCTCAGAGGCAATGCTGGTAAGTACTTTTATTAATAGTGGAAGTGTGTTTGTAACAGTTTAACACTATTAAGAGACCAAGTGTCTCTTTGTTAGAGTGCCAAATTTGAATTGAATATTGTGTAAAGAAAGCAAAGTCAAGCTGAATATATGAGTGTACTGAGTTTGTCACCATTCCCATCACAGCAGTTAGCACATTTACTTGCATTTCTGCTAGAGATAACATCCTTTTTCAAAGAGTGAAATGAGGAAGGAAAATTATCATAAAAAAAAAAATTTATTATTTAAGTAAAAATGTTTCTCATATAGGCCTATTTATTCGTTTATATATATATATATATATATATATATATATATATATATATATATATATATAAACTGTGTTACATTGAAGAACAATCATATGGGTTTGGAACAACATGAGGGTGAATACAAATTTTTCATATTTTAAGTGAATTAACCCTTTTAAGTATAAATGTGCTGAACACATACGCACACATGAAGGAGGAGTATTTATGGTTTTGAAGTTTGTGTGTTTCTCGTGGTACCTGTAGACAGGGTGATGGCACTGAGCTTCACTCTATACAGGTTACTCCGCACTCTCCACTGTTGCATCATGGGGTATCCTGTGGCTTCACTGAACTGAGCATCTCCTGTAACACAGACACACATTAATGCCCCACTTCTGCAACTTTATTAATAGCTACATTTCAGACATTAAAAGTGTCCCATGAGACACGAGGAGGTTTTACTCAAGGAGGTGCTTACTGGCTCGAAAAACTGAATACTCCACTAAGACCCTTCTGAAAAAAAAGTAGTGTGCTTAACTGCATTGAAGGTGCACTTGTAGTGTAATTCTCATCTTTAAAGTATATTTTAAAAAAACGTACTTGAAGATAATATAATATTAATATAATGAAAGGTAACTTAAGTGTATTTTAAGAGAGTATAGTTTCATTATTGTTTTTTAATACACTTTTAAAAAGTGTACTTTGTTATAACGTCAAATTACATACTGTAAAGTACTGTCACGGTTGCACTACTGAGTGGAGTGCGGCGCAAGGAATGGAGGGAGACGATGAGTACATCAATCCAGAGAATTTGAATGATACCAAGGAAAACTCACTTAGCACATGTAGACATAAACAATACCGGACTCTGAAGTAAAAACAGGGAACACTATTTAAACACATAACAAGACGCGGGGATGACGAGAATAAATGGAGGAACACCTGGAATTAAATCAACATAATCAGGACAGGAACAGGAAACTAACCAAATATGGGCATAAACACTGGGTCACAGGGAGCACATGGGGAATACAACACAACACAAGCCTGACAATTATCATTCAATGAATAATATTTTATATACACAATTGTTGTATTTAGCATTGGTAAACGGTGTGTGTGTGTGTGTGTTGGTGATGGTGATTTTAGTTACATTGTTCCGCCTTTAGATGGCAACAAGAGACTGTTTTACGAGTCAGCAGAAAAGACTTTTAAATTGCTTCAAAAAGCTTGTACACAGCCTACAAACGCACTGAGCAGTGCTGTCATCAGAAATAACCCTTGAGCCTATTAGACATTCATACTAATTGTGAATATGAGATTGATACACACCTGGGATCAATGGAAATAAACAGGGAACACCTGGAATTAAATCAACATAATCAGGACAGGAGCAGGAAACTAACCAAATATGGACATAAACACTGGGACACAGGGAGCACATGGGGAACAAATCACAACACAAGCCTGACATGATGCCCCCCTCCGGAAGGCGCGTCCTCGCGCCATACAACATCAAAGTACAACATCGTACACTTAAAGTCTTCGATAAGAAATCGGTACATTATCATCATTGTCTAATACTGAAAAATATATAATTTGTTAAGTTGGGAAAACATGATTAAGTATTCAAATGTATCCCCTCTTAGTCATTTATTTAGTATTAGAACAACTGATTATCGTTCTACAAGAGGTGCATTAAGAGGAGACTGTATCATACCGCTTAGACAAAGTAATTTTTGTCAGTCTGCTTTTTTTTGTCAAAGCTGCACGAGAATGGAATACTATTCCGATAACTATACGAGATCTAGACACATATGCTTTATTTAGGGTTCAGTTGAATAATTGGTTAATTCGTACTAAGATTTGTCAACACTAGAATTTTTTATTTGCTAGCTATCCTATTATTGATTGTATTTTGTTTGCATTGTCTTTATTTGATCCCATTGTTTTTTTTTTATATAATACTGATTTGAACTACGTAATTATAAAAAATGTTTGTATGTATTTTTTATTACATTTTACACAGGGAGCACATGGGGAACAAAACACAACAAGCCTGACAAGTACATTTTAAATAATGTTTTAATCATTTGTCATGCTTTAAAGAACAGTTATTTTGATGTGTTGACTAATAACTTAACTGTAGTTTGTTATTCGACATTATAAAGTTATCAAAATATATTTGAAATGTACTAAACTGCAACTTCGCAAATTTGTAATCACACATAGATTTAAATACATGACATGCAAGTTGCAATAGAAATAACATTCAAGTATATTTTAGTTTTCCATAAATGCTTGTCAGTACATTCAGCAGTACACTTTAACCATAATTCAAAGACAACAGAATTATGAAATTACATAAACTTGTCCTACTTAAGTGGGTCCATAAATACAAGTTCAACTAATTGCATTTAAACTATATATTTGTTTTCTTCTAATTGTAAATCATATTCAATTAAGAGTTTTCTGTTTGCACTTAAGTATGTTTTTTTAAATATACTATTAAGAACTCCTTTTAAAAGTATGAGTGTACTTTTCACAAGGGGCTGCATTCATGCATTTATTGCTAGATGTTGCTAACATGTTTTGCACCTTTTTGCAAGTTTTAGATTATTGTGCTCTTTAGAGTTGGTGTCACGGGTGCACTGCTGAGCGGACTGAGGTGCATGGAACATAGAGAGACAAGGAGTACATTAATCCAAATGGGTTTAATCAACACAAGGACCACTCACGCTATACAGGTAGACATAGACAATAACGGACGCTGGAGCACACATAGGGAACACCATTTATACACACAGGAGGAGGGGATGACGAGACACACCTGGGAGCAATGAAACATCATGGGAAACACCTGGGACAAATTAACTTAATTAATCAGGACAGGAACAGGAAACTAACCAAATAAGGGCATAGGAAGGCACATGGAGAGCAAGATACACACAAAACATGGAACAGAGTCTGACAGTTGGATTTTTTCTGGTTCTGTCCAGCACTGCGAGCATTAACAACTCTCTACTCTCACTCCTGGAAAAAAGACAAGCTGTCATTG